AACATTCTTTCAAATGCACTTTGTTTGGACAGGATATGACAACTAGAGATTTTATATTTGTGCAACATTTCAGAATTTTACAGCATTCAAACTTTTCCAGACTTGTAGTATTTTACAACGCCAACATTCGTGACGTATATTTCTTTAGTACAAGATATGTCAGGGCAAACAGTTATACAGTATGTTCTGGAGACTTTTATCTGCATACAGTGTTTTATACAACATGTCACTGGGGACAACAGCATTTAAGAGTAGAATGTTTTGTAACTTTTGGGAGTACTTGGTGAGATTTTGCTTAACGGATAGCTTCCTGGCTATAGGTCAAGAGGGGTTGAACCCCTTAAACCAAGGGTCAGCTGCAATGTTGAGGTAGGGCAGAGGATTGCTTTTGACAAATTCAAAAGGAGGCATTTGAGTTTAGTATATGTAGATAATTTCATAATGAAGGTGATTAGTTATGGCTGTGTGTGACTGATGTGTACTTATAACTGAAAGTTGTTATGCCTCCTGAACTTCAGTTAATAACTTCCATATACTGGACAGGTATTGAACACATTGTATATTTATTATTCATAATTGTGTTTATTATAATAGACATTTTGTATATGTTATTTATGTTTTACATTTATATTTATTTTACAACACACATTTCTGAAAAACTCATATGGCTATTTTTACCATGTAGAGATCCAGACAGTTGGTTTCTTCAGATTTCAAAAGATTAAGCAGCAAAATTCTTTTATAATAAACTGAGTCTTCCCACATCCTAAGTCACCAATCTAGTGTTTATTGAGGTTTAAACTATATAAATAGGAGGATATTATTAAAATGAAAATATAAGAAACGCACAGATGCACAATGAAGATAAGCAAATATTCAGTACTTGCTCTGTAAAATACTTAACTGCATTCATCCACCATGAGCTAAATATGACATCATTTTGCCTATGTACAAAGATGATCAGCATGCCATTTTGCATTAGAGCATTAGAGCTTCTAACTGTGCAAAGCAAGATACCTCACCAGCAAAGTAACATTTTAGACATAGCTCATCTGGAAAATAATAAATAAAACAGTATTTGTACATTAAATAACATATTTTAAGCCTAAAAGAAAAAAATAATCATGTTCACTAAACATTTTGGCCATCAAGAGACAGCCATGCCTTCTCACAACATATTTAACAACAAAGATCTAAAACAAAAGACAAGTTCTTTGGTGTCAATGATCTGTGAGACCAGTCAGGGCAAGTCATGTAACTACAGAAGTCAGCTCATGTGTTGATTTACTGTGCTTTCCTCAGAGCACAGAGGACATCATCATTGATCCTTAACAACAGCTGATGAGCTTAAGACCATGATGCAGAGGAGCTCAGGGTGCAGTGATGTACAGTACTTGTTTTCACTACTCAGTTACAGAATAAATCAATCTAACAATCGACAATTGCTTGTGTTTTTGTCTAAGAACATTGTGTTTTCTAAAAAGCATCAATGTGTATAGAATAAAAATGGACTTCTGAGTTTTAGTAAATAACAAAGACCAACAGAATGTTCTATATGTTGGTTGCTTACACCTGAAGACCTCACTGAACTCACCAAGTAATTTTCATTAAACGTCATGTGAAGATCTAACATTCTTTTAACTAATGCTCATTTTAAAAGTATAATCAGCCATAGTCCAAGCCCCGATTTGCCCTGGTCAGTAACATGATATGAACCCTCATCAGCTAACTATTACAATCATTTGTATGCACAACAAAGAGTAAGGGAGACAGAACACATCCTATGGGGGACCAGTGGAAGAATATAGCTGATTAGACAAAACCTTATTGACTCTAACCCACTGAGTTCTATCTGGAAGGTAAACCGTAATCCAGATGACAAGATTAAAATAAAGACCAAAATTAAACAATAACTTAGTTGCCAGTGAATAAGGTTGAATACAATTAAATGCTGAAGGAAATCTCACATATAGAGACCTAGCATGAGTCTTATTTTCCTCAGTATGCTGGAGCACAAGTTTAAGAAGACATATTGTAGCATCTTCCACACAGGAAATTCTTTCCCTAGATTTTCTGCGCAAAGGTGGGATATCACAACCCTGAGATGTTTAAATGAAGGCATAATTCAACTATCTGAACGTTTCACATTCTCTCTCCCCTTCAAACAGTCTCTTGACTTTCGGATGAGGAGAGCTTGTGAGTTTGTAACTTGAAATCTTGAATTTTGTGGTTATGTAAACTGTTAAATTAAGCTAAAATTAAAAAGAAATATCTAGCAGATGAGCTTATTAACAGGCGCATGAAAACAATTCACGGGATAATATTTTAACTGAATAACAGGAAATTGTTAATAAAACAATATAAATTAATGTAAATTTAGAATAATTAGGCCTAATATGCTCAGTTTAAGATTTGCGTGTTTGTTAGGACAATTAATTTCATTGAGAATATAATTCAGAATGGTGTTATCATTTACTGCAATCATCACATAATTAACAAGGAAAGCACATTTAATGAAGAGAACGTTAGTGACAACTACCTCTAGAGAATAATAAATAAAATTGCAGCAGACAACTCTGTTCTGTCTATTTTCTGCTAGTGACTCAAGCATGTAATTTAAGAATTCACTAATGTAATCACATTCTGTGTAAAATTCCGAATATTCATTATTGTCATTATTTCGCTGCCACATGCCTAACACCCCTACTTGAGGTGCAATGGTCATGGCACGGTAAAGTCATAAGTGAAAAAAGAAATGACAAACCTAAACAGTAAATGTACAAACAGGAACAGAAATACTAATCAAGATGTCAAAACCACTTTAGGCCTATTCATTTAACTTGTCGCTGTCTTAGGAACAGGCTAAATTAAGGCTCATAAGAACATACAGTATCAAAGGAGAGGAGGACGTTTGGATCATCTACAGTAGTTTTCTCGGTAGTGAATAGCTAATTGGTCCATCCACTCATTGGTTGAAAGAAGCCAGGCTATCAATTTCAGCAGAATGGCTGGTTAGCTTGTCCCACACCCCCATAAACCTTTGGGTGAAGCTTATTAACCGTAAGCTTGATTGCATCTATTCAAATGATAAAAAAAAACCTGCTGTGTCTATTTCAAAGCACCTACAGAAGGAGAACACAAGAAAAAAGATATTTGGAAATAGTTTTGTTTTAATAAAGATCAAACATTTCTCTTCCTCTTTATAACTTATTATCCATAATACTGAATAATCATATCGGTTCATAAAACTGTAAAACTAAAACAATCAGCTCATTTTTACTGTTATATATGTTAAACATTTAGAAAAATCAACAATTCAAAATATAACACAGCAATTTTCAGATGTCGTTAATGGATTTTTTTTTATTTAGCTGTTCCAATCCTCCAGGGCTGTCCTTCAGTCTATAAGGATTGTACTGAGTTCTCCTAGTAGTAGATACAGTAATATGAGTCACCTCCTTAATACAGTATAATGTGCTTTTGGATCTTAGTACCACATAAACACAATTAATCATCATTAAATTTAATTAGAAAGGTCACAAAAAAGAGGAGGCCATTTACCCCTTATGGCTGTTATAGCTTCCTTCTTTTTGTTATCATGAAAAATGTCCAGTAGAAAGTATTACCAGAACAATTCAGGGAATTTTCTTGGTGCTTGTAAGATGTCCATTATCATGGAAGGCCGGCAGAGGCAGAGTGATTAAATTCATCTCATTGTGAGCGAAAGGAGATTTCATACTGTACATGCCAAAAGCATGGCATTTCTAAGCTTTGAAGCAATACGTACTGTATGTCTTGGTAAGAACTAAATGCAGCCTTTTCTGTGCACTATACATCTAACAGTGGCAATGTTTTCAACTTTATAGATTTATGGCTGGTGTGAAATTCACATTCCAAGACAAGAGAAATGTACTGTCGGTACATTAATTTTCACCATGAACTAGAATGGAGCACTAAATTTAGCATCACCTGGTTAATAAACAGCTAGAGATTACAATTATCAATGTTTTCCCTAGAGCTAATTAATGGTAGGCAACATTTGATGCCATAAGGATTTTTCACTTTTAAACACAAGTGACAATTGATTGGTCATGTTAAAGGACATCAAATACAGCAGATGAAAAAAAGAACACAGCAATATGTTAACATTGAAGTATTTAATGTTTTATTTTTAAAGATTGGGTTGTCCAAAAATGTGAAATAATAGCTGATTTATTTATTTTCCATCAGGAGCAATTACATACTTTGAGGTCTGGGCTTATGCTGCACTGCGACATCTATTTGTCACAGATTATACAGTGTGCTGCAGAAACTGCACCTTGCATCAATATTGTCTCAATTCCACTTCATTCAGTACAATCAGACATACCCAGGACAGGCTTAAAATTCAATCAACGCTTATGAGTCACAAGTAACTTCACTTTTGATATATTTATAATAGATTCATCTCTGTTTTGCAAAACTCCTCACCATGGTGAAGTTGTTCTTTAATTTGATCAAAGTGACACAGGAATTTAATAAAGGAGATGTATTTGATTTGATAAAGACTGGTGGAAAAAGAGCAAGTGTAATATGTACACATTGCTCTGTAATGTGGTTAACAAGATTGCCACAGATCTGAGCAAAGAAATACATAAAGTATTATTAAAATAACTCCTACTTTGAAAACAATATATATATAACACCAGCTTATCTACAGTGATGACAGGAATCGTTTAATGCCATATTCAAGATCTGAGACTTTTCTTGATTCACATTTCTTGATGACGAATAGTGATCTTGTGAAAGTGATAAAATGCTAATCTTCCCAGGTGGGAATGAACTGTGAAACACAATGTTTAATTAAAGATTCCACCAGAGACAGCAACCCTAACACATAGCTCCTGCCAGTTAGCGGCTGCTCAGTTCCTGCTGTCACCCTGCCACCCCCAAACCCATCTCTCTTCCCCTTGCACGTAAATTGTGGGGTGTCAATTAAGAGGATGAGCTCCCACACTTACCTGCTTGTGAGCGTGGTCATAGGAATTTATGTGGTTGTCAAACTCCTGGTGCTTGAGGTACTGCTTGTCACATAATTCACAGTAAAAATTAGCCTTCAAATCTTCCAGAGCCTTTGCTATGGCTTTCTCCTTTTCAGCATAATCCTGAAGGAATAAAGGAGAGGAAATGATTGGTAAATTGCGGATTAATTATTAATCTTTCAGACTGTGAAGTCCAGCCATCATGTGAAATGTTGACAATTAAATACATTTCTTCTTTTTCCTTGAAATGCTACATCAGTTTCTTTTCTACTTTCAATAGTCCATACAAAAGAGAAACCAAAGCAATCACTGACTGAATAGTTCATGGTATTTAATAAGCTTCAGTGGCTGTCTCAGTCCTTCATCTTACAATTACTATAAAGAAAACCTTTGGAAGAAAACATTCTCCTGATTCACACTCATAAATGATATCTTAAACTACATTATTATTATTATTATTATTATTAATATTATGATTATGATTATTATTATTATTATACTGGAAAACTCTTTAATGCCCACCTAAAATATGAAGACAATAATTTATTTGTCTCTATATACAAATATATACATATCTATTGAGTGTATGCGTCTTGAAGTGTACATCAAGCATCATCTCTGCATACTAAACGCAAATTGTGAGATTCCCACCTGAATCGTGATCATTAATCTATGTGTGCTTCAAACTAGTGTACTATTGTTGATGCTCACAGCTCAGCTTGTTGGACCATAATACACCGACAATTATTTTACCTTGGCTGGTTTGAATTAAGGCCAATGTTAAAATAAATTAAGTCAGGGTCAATTTGACTTGAGTACACTAGTGTTACTTTAGTTAGATTTTATTTTTTCTTCTACAGTATATTCTTTTAATAATTATTAGATCATGTATGCCAGCATTAAAGGCAGTTGATGATGTGGACCTGAACCTGCATAAATGAAAAAAAAAACGGCTTTAATATTTCTCAAATTACACATGCTCCTGTTTTTATAGTCCAATGACCTCAGTCTGTATCAATGGACGTTTTCTGAAAGGATTCAAATGTGAATGTTTTGAAAGGATGCTGAATGTTCTTTAGGAACATTCAATGAAAGGAGAGTCCCAAAATAATGTGAGGCCACTCCCTCCTTCCAGTAATGTCACCAATAGCACCCGTTGCACCCCAAAGCTCACCCCAATCTTAGCAGGTTAAATCAGCGGGATCAGGCCAAGAAATGTTGATCTCCTTTAAATCACTCTTTACTCTCAGCAGTACAGCTCTTTATTGATCTTGTTTTTGCCTTTTTTTCTTCAGGGGTGGGAAGGCTCATGTTTATTCTTAGTGAAAAAAGGGAAAAACAAATAGGAGAAACCTATGAATCTTGAACCTTTCATTTCAAATGTGGACTTGTGTTTGGCAAAATTTTCCCATATCTCTGCATTCTATGTAAGTTGTGTTTGGTCTAAAGACTGAGTTAAACCAGTTTCTGATTTCCGCATCCTTCTCCAGCTTGTGGAATACAGTATGCTCTCACGCTGCATGACACTGCCTTGTTTGCATAACCAGATCTGGCAATGACCTGGATTTACAGGTACCTGTACTTTCTTCAGGACATTCCTATACTTTCTGAATCAAGTAAGCCATTCACCATCAAATCAAAAGCACATCAATGGTACCAAAGACGTTCTCGAGCCACTTACAGCAGCCAGGCCCTGGAATGACCCTGCCTTTTGACTGAGATGCCATTATTTCTGAAACAATTAAAAGACAGGCTGGATTTCTATACTGTGCCTTTGCTTGTCAATGCCCGTGCAGTTCAGTTGTTAAGCAATTTTATACCTAACCAGCACAGAAAGAATTATTTTTTATGGTTGTTTACATTTTCCCATCCTATCCTACCCAGCCTGCACTGATTAATTCCAATTTGTTTTAGTCAACAAGACAATCCCAACTCTAGAAGAATATTCTGCTTCTTGCACGCAAGACAGATTTTATGGTGTTGCACAGTACTGTATCTAATGCATCCAGTACTTCCAACAGTGACAATTTAACTAACTGCAAAGCATGGGCCAATGCTCACAGGGCCTTTGGGGAGAGTCCAACAGACCCTAAAGTAATTACCCCCTCCTATAGGAGGTCTAATGAGGGACAAGAACATAGCATTATGTCTACTGCCCTTAACGTAAAGTAAAGTAAAGAACATGGGGCATCTAGGAGCAGTGTACAGTATGTGTGATGTAGACTACCTTATTTAAGCTTACTGTATCTTTTATATGCAAAACAGCAGATGTTAACTACTTAATTATTTTATTTTGGCTCTTTGGCTGTCACAACTACATCAAGGGACGAGTTATAAGATTTATTTAATCCGTTAATTATGCGATAGTATTTCAAAAGCATTTAGAGAACACACCACACCCAGCAAGAGGAAACACAGGCTTCCATTCTAACCACGAGGTAATTTTGGCTGGAAGACATTTTGGGTCCAATCCACATGAGGGTCTTATACACGTTGCACATTACTCTGTAAGAATATTTTGTGAATTATGAAATTTGTGTTGTACTACTGTTAAGCAGAAAACATGCACATTACCATATGTAATCATGAAAGCCTCTGTAAGCTTTCATGATGCCTTTTATGAAGTTCCTTCTGAAACTCTTTACAAAATGTTTTGTATTCCTTGTATTAAAATAAATATGTGATCAAAAATATTCAATAATATAATAAATAATAACTTAAATGTATAGTAAAAAATAATAATAAACGTTTTTTTTATAAAATGTTCTTCTCTTGAAGAACTGCTGTAAATGGTTACAAGAGTGTTGCTACTTTTAATATTTTACATGTCTGTTTTTTGACAGCTTTATCCACACAGGACTAATACGTGGAATGTTACAGATAGATATTATATACATCTCAATTTAAAATGACCTTCCTGACAGCTTTATTTTTTAGTGTTTTGATTTCAATGGAATCTTGTTCATACACCTGAAGAAGAAATTTAAATTTTAAATTCATCACCTGTTTAAAGGTCTGTGGATACAACTTTAAGATTGTCGGGTGTTTTTGTTTTGCTGTCATTTTTCATTTCTATGATGACTTTTTGTGATGATAAAATATTTGTAATAACATAAATATAAGATACTTCAAAAATCCACTGCCTGTTAGCCTCTGCTAGTCCACATTTTAAAGGTTGTCGATCATTTAATCTAATATTGCCCTTCTGAGAAAATAAAAAACTGCTAGACTGCTAGAAAATATGATATTGACAGTTAATTAACTACCTAAATGACTCATTCTTGTTTTTAACTCTTCTTATGTTCTACATTTAGAGATTTCTGTAACAAAAATAATTATTATCAAGATATATTCACTGATTTTCTGTAGGATATACTTTATGCTTTGTTTATAACTCTATTATTACTGTACACTTATACAGTGACATTTTTGTGGTATAATAATCATTTAAAACAACTCTTAATCCAAAACACAATTCAAAATTTCCAGTGGAAACAGAAGTGCCTTCTGAAATTGACCAGTCATGCTTTTTCTCTCAGGAATGACAAATCACTTCATTTGGATTGTTCTTGTGTGTTGGTGGCTTAGAGATTTTACCTTCTTATGTGACCATCCCTCATCACACACAACCCAGGCTCATAAAGCTCAGCATACTCACATCTTAAAGCTCTATTCCTCTGGGAACTGCTATAAAGCCGTCTGGGTATCGTTCTCTGATCTGTATTATGAAGCAGTGATTCCTGCTCTTTGTTGAAGGGCATAAAAGTCTTTGTTAATAACTCTCATAAAAGGAAAAGGGTGTCTAAATAAACTGTTGCACAGTTGGCTATAAAAATAAATGCCAGAGCTTTTTATGTCTTTCAAAGTTCTTACATGTTTAAAAATAAATGAGGGCATTATTGTTCATCATCTGTAATGAATTCATTAAAATTCACAAGAATCCTTTCTTCACAAGTTAAACTATGAGTGCTGCAGAAGCAGTGGCAGCACACGCATGATAAAAAGGAGCATTTTTCTGTGTTTTTCACTCAGAAGAATAAACATGGGAAAAGGGCTGCTAATTCTATTATGATTTCTAACTGGGAATACATTACCATGATGTTAATGAGCATTACTAGTGAAGGGATAGTGTCCCAAGGCTTCACTGAGACAACAACTCATGCAGCTGATTACAGTTTGATGCTGTTTCATGATTCCCCCAGGGGTAGTAATTAATCCTGTGAACTCATCACGGCTGTATTTATTTACAGAAAGGCCGTGCAATAAATGGAAGACTAGAGGCAGCACCATCCCAAGAAGACGTTTCAACCTTGCCTCATTCTATCTGACAGGGAGAACATGGCTCCACATCACATCAATTGTGGTCAATAAAGTTTGACTTCTTTAACCCACTGTTCACGTTAACGGCTGAAACAGCTTATAAATGTCACTTTATAATGCTAACATGGAAAACGATGTTTTATAGGGTTCCCCTCTGTGGTTTTGCATAGGATTTTTTTTCCTTGGAAAAGAAACTAGATAATTGATTCTGGTACACAAGTTGTTCTGATACAAAAGTTTATCAAAAATTATAACTGCTCTTCTTCTGGCCTTCCCTTGTAAATAAAATATCTATTTTCATTCTCATGTCTTCCGGTGAAGAAAAGAAAATAATTCACTAAAACAACAGTAAAAACACCAAAGCCTGAACTGCTGTTTGGGTGTAATGAGGCATCTCACCAAGAACCAGTTTTGGAGTATTAAAGACTAATGACATAATATAGAAATAATCATTATCACTGCCATTCCTATTCAGAAAATGGTATACAAATGTACAAAAGAAATGCAACACATATCCTGCTAAAGTACATGATCAAATATTTTCAACATAGTGTAAATGTGAAAGAAATCTAAAAAAAAATGTGAACAAATTTACAGGACAAAACAATAACTGTGACAGACTGTTAAAATAAAAAATAAAGTTAGTTGTTTGTCAGGTCTGTCAAGGGGAAATTGGCATTTTTCACTGAATAAAATACTTCCCAGCTCTCTTTCTGCTGCCACTTCTGAGGTTCCATGGCCCACAGAACACTCTCACATTGTCTGTCACCTATCAAAATTCTGGCAGTTGTTGTTCATCATGT